ATCTATCTATCTATCTATCTATCTATCTATCTATCTATCTATCTATCTATCTATTTATCTACCTGTCTATACAGACACACATATAATTTTTTTCCCTCCCACTACCTTAATACTGACAAAGGACTCAAGAGTTGCAAATATCATCTTTCCATGCAGGAATGTAAACAGTTTAACCTTAATAAGTCTCTTATGATTTCTCTTTCCCGTTTACCTCTTCCATGTTTCACCTGAGTCTTGTATTTGAAAGTCAAATTTTATATTCAGCTCTGGTCTTTTCCTCAGGAATGCTTGGAAGTCCCCTATTTCATTGAATGACCATTTTTTACCCTGAAAGATTATACTCAGTTTTGCTGGGTGGGTGATTTTTGGTTGTAATCCTATCTCCTTTGCCTTTCAGAACATCATACTCCATCCCCTCTGGTCCCTTAATGTAGAAGCTGCTAAATCGTGTGTTATCCTGATTGTGTTTCCACAATACTTGAATTATTTCTTTCTGGCTACTTGCAATATCTTCTCCTTGACCTGGGAATTTGGCTACAATATTCCTAGGAGTTTTCCTTTGGGAATCTCTTTCAGGAGGAGACTGGTGGATTCTTTCCATTTCTATTTTGCCCTCTGGTTCTAAAATATCAGGGAAATTTTCCTTGATAATTTCTTGAAAGATGATGTATAGGTTTTTTTTTTGATAATAGCTTTCAGATAGTCCAATAATGTTTAAGTTCTCTCTCCTGGATCTATTTTCCAGGTCAGTTGTTTTTCCAGTGAGATCTTTCACATTCTCTTCTCTTTTTTCATTCTTTTGGATTAGTTTTACAGTGCCTTGATTTCTCATATAGTTGCTAGCTTCCAATTGCTCCATTCTAATTTTTAAGGAAATATTTTCTTCAGTAAGCTTTTGGACTTCCTTTTCCATTTGGCCAATTTTGTTTTTTAGGGCATTCTTCTCCTCATTGGCTTTTTGGATCTCTTGCCATTTAGGTCAGGCTATTTTTTAAGGTGTTATTTTCTTCAGTATTTTTTTGGGTCTCCTTTAGCATCACTCTCAGTTTTTCCTCTACTTCTCTTACTTGCTTCTCAAAATCCTTTTTGAGCTCTTCAATGGCCTGGGACCAATTCATATTTTTCTTGGAGGCTTTGGATGTAGGTGCCTTGGCTTTGTTGTCTTCTTCTGGTTGTATGTTTTGGTCTTCTTTGTCACCAAAGTAAGATAATATAATCTGACTCTTTTTGTGCTGCTTGCTCGTGATCCCAGCCAATTACTTGAGTTATAAACTCTTTGTTAAGGTAGTGGTCTGTTTCCAGTGTGGAGAATGTTCTGCCCCAAGCTTTGGGGGTTTTCTGCAGCTGTTTTCAGAGATCCTTCTAGGGACCTGTAAATTTTCAGTTCTTCCAAGGTACTATGATCAAGGGCGAGGTGTTTACTCCTTTCCTGTCCTGTTCTCTGCTCTATGAATGACCACATGAAACTCTTATCTGTCCTGGAACTGTGAGGAGTATTTCCTCTCCACAGCCACTACAAGCTCCACCATGCCAGCTCTCCTCCTCGCCCTAGGACCACCACCCAGAACTGTGACCCAGATCAAAGCACGGGCAAAGCAAGAGAATCCTGCACCAGCAGAGAGATCCCTGCTATCTCCCTCTGATCAGCCACTTGATTCCCCCTCAGTCTGTGGGCAGAAAGCGAGGCAGCCACCGCACCAGGCAGAGTTTGGGGAATAGGGCTGGGATCCCACGCTTCTCTCTCACCATAGAAACAGACTTTTCCCAATGACTTTCTAAGTTGTCTTTGGTGTTCATGGGTTGAGAAGTCTGGAAAATACCACAGCTGCCTGTGATTCAGTCCTCTGAGGCCTGCTCTAGATTCGCTGTGGCCTGTGCACCCATGACACACTGGGCTCCTCTCCCAGCCCAGCATGATATACCTTTCCAATCAATCATCCAGGCTATCTTGGGCTGGGAATTTGTTTCACTTTGTCTTTTTGTGGGTTCTGCTGCTTAAGAATCTGTTTAGAGCCATTTTTATAGGTATTTGGAGGGGTTTGGGGGGACAGCTCAAGCAAGCCACTGCTTTTACTCCATCATCTTGGCTCCACCCCCCAGGAGATCCTTTTTAGCTTGGGAAATCAGAGAAGCCCTAATGGGGGAAGTGACCCCTGAATTCAACTTTGAAGGAAGGGAGTGATTTCAAGAAGTAGAGATGAGAAGTGTAGTATAAGAGGGAGGGTACATTCTAGGCATAGGGGATGATGTGATCAAAGATACAAAGACAGAAGAGGATAGGATAACTGAATTTGGCAAGTAGTCACTTTAGGTATAATACGAAGTGCATTAAGAGAAATAATGTGAGAAAGATTAGACCTGAAGGGTAGGTTAGATCCAAATTATGGATGACTTTTGAGGCCAATTTATAGAATTCATATTTTATTTCAAATACAATAGGGAGCTACTGATGATTTTTGAGCACAGAAATGATGTGGTATCAAGCTCCTTGAAACAAATGTTGGCCAGATCATAGGTTGATGGATCTTGAGCTTTGACAAGCCTTCAGAGATCATATAGTCCCACACCTCCATTTTACAAATGAGGAAACTAAAGGCAAAACTGGATGACTTTCCCAAAGTTGCACATAAAGTAAACATTAAAGGTGGGATCCAACTTCAAAGTCAGCATTCTCTCCACCATACCATGTTGTCTGATATCCCGAATGAAGCCTGCATTGATATGGTTTATCCCAGGTCTAGAAATGTAATCTCAGGATTCAAACTTCCACCCTGGGAAGTTGTTACCTTAGAACAAATTCAGAATTCTAGAACATTGGTGGAAGTACTCAATTTCCTAGGGAGACTGGATTTACAGGAGGGGTCCTGTGGATGTGCAGCTAGACTCCATTTCCTGGGTTCCCTTAGATTAAGGCAGAATTCCTAAAGTCTTATCAAGTTAGAGGGGCAGCCTCTATGACTACCACAGAATTAAACCATTCCCTTAGAGTCGGAAGGGGCAGAGTTTCCATTTACTTCATGAAGTTTAGTGTGAAACTTGGACTATATCTTTCCATGAAGAGACAAGCAGTCATTATGGTATCCAAGGAAGCCTAGTTCCCTTCAGAGAATTCATGAATGACTAAATAAATTTTCAAAGATTTATATTTCTTCCCCAAATACATCACATCTTCCTTTTCAGGTTGCCTTTCTGAAAACTATGCTTTTAGTATTGGGACAATGGAAACAAAGAAAAATATGTTCAGCATTATTATTAAATATATATATATATATTCATACACATATAGGTTACTGCATGAAAAATGTATTTTCCCTGCCACTCTAAAATATCTTATTCCATAGTCTTGAATAGATTTTCCCTAATAAACTGCCCCTTTTCATCAAAGTGACATCATTTAATAATATTTAATATTCAAACACAACAATTTATACTGGTAAGCTAAAAGTGAAACACCAAATATTCTTATATTTTACATAAGTTTTCTTACATATGATACAGGAAATATAATTTTATATTTTGTTATTGCCGATATTAATTAATATGGCCAATGTTAATATATTGGCAGTTAGGTGGCGCAGTGTTGGACTTGGAGTCAGGAAGGTGAGACCCTGGCAAGTCTAATCTTAACCCTAGCCCTAAACAGACAGTTCAACACATTAGCTCAGTATTGATGATTAATTCATAAATTTTGAGCTGGAATGGACTTTAGAGGCATTCTAATCCAACCCTTTCATTTTACAGATTATAATTGTTTATATTTCATTCCTATCTGGGTAGCAGCTGTATCTTCCTTACTTTCTGCTTCTTTATCTATGCTGGTATGAAGTTGGTTTGGAATTTAAAAAAGAAAAAGAAAAAGAAATGGGGGAGGGCAGGAGAGTTTAAATGTGAATATATAGTTTGAAATCTAAATTTTATAGCAAAATTTTAGGTCAGTCTAAACATCAGATCAACCTACCTCACTATATATTGTCATTAAAATCCAATTTAGTTCTTTGTGATAAACTGGGTTACAAAACAATGACTCTGTTTTCTAATTCTTTTACATTTTCTATAGCATCTAACCCAATGATCAGAGCATAGTAGGAAATTCTGATACCATGTGTCCATATCATTATACTTAGGGATACATAGTATTTTATAATTTGCATTTTCTTAGTGGAAGTATTCAGAATAATCCAATGGAAACTTCATTTTCCTAAAAGAATATTTAAGTCAGTCACTTAAATTCCTTTATCATGAATTCATCTTCTTTCTTTTTTTAAAATACAGAACTATTATTTCATTATAAGTGTGGGGAAATCCTGATCTAGAAATTCCCCCTACTAGATTAGCAACTCACCTTGAACTTTTAGCTTAGAGAGTTGGTGGGGCTCTTTTCCCAGCGTCTCACAACTAGTCTGTATTAGAAGCAAGACTTGAACTTGGGTTTTCCTGATTCCAATGTTGATCTTCTCCCCATTGCACCAGGCCACCTGTCTCATCATTTTTTGATATGTCAAATTAACATGTCAAGGTCTTACTCACCGGATAGGGTAGGAAGAGGTGATCTTTCTAGAAATAGCACTAGTTGCCCTTTTATGGTCTGTCTCAGTACCATCAGTTTTTCTTTCTGTATTTGGAGAACAGGGCAAGATGACAGTGACTGGTTTATGAAAAGGATGTGTTGCTGGGTGTTGGATATGAATTAAAGGGCTAGTTGATACTACTGAAAAATAAAGATCTTGTTTCATTTTTAATGTTGACACTAGTGAAGGATCAATTGGCTGGACCTAAACAAATTAGATGAAAGAGTAATTAATTCTCATTGATTAACTTTTGTTAGAAGCAAAATATATTTTTTTCTGAGCTATTTGTCTTAGTGTGTTACAGAATACAGTTTTGTGTGTGTTGTTTTGTTTAATAAATCCAAACTTTTATAACTACAACAGCTCACATAACACCTCCTTCTTCTAAATTATCTTCAGTGCAGTCATTTCCACCATGAAGCCACATATATCTTGTAGGTACCTTCCAACTTTCTATTTCTTGCTCTGAGAACTGTAACCAAATCACTACTACCATTTCCTCTTGAAAGAGTGTCTCAACTGACCGCTTTATTGTTCCCCTCACAATCTCTGTAATTTCCTGGTTGCTCTTCTCTGGCCATGACTCTCCTATATTGATATTCTACTTTTATAAGCCTCTCTAAACAGAGCAAATCTGATCTGGTTTCTCTGATAAATTTTTTTTAAATTATTAAAAATTATTATTGGTGCTCTGGTGAGGAGGTATGCATGGGTGCTATCAAGTATCCATTGTCTTCCTACCCACACATCTACAAAAAACTGAAGTAGAGAATAGATTTCCAGACTTCTCTGGGCATGACTAGATAGGGGCAGCTTTGTTATATTCCAAAAGTGGGGGGCAGTTAATAGGGGAAGGCTAGTTTCTTCAAAATCCCTACACAAACACAAACCTCCAAATCCTCATGGACACTTGACTACCCTCATTATATAAGGAAACTGCCAGAAGAACCTCTAATTTGGAGATTCTCTTCCTAAGTAAACACTTACATTTGTGTATATTGAATTTTTTTGTTTGCAAATTAAAAATTAATATTTTCTATGTAGCTTTTCCAAGAAGCCTTACTGTATGAACTCCCTAATCCCAGCCCTCAACGGTAACCTCAACTATATTATAATGGCAACTTCTTCCAAGATTATTCTCAGGAAAATTATTAGCACTTGCACTGGGGAGCCACCTCCTCCAACCCTATTATTGAATGGTAATTTTAAAAATCATGCACAGAAATTTGTAGAGGCATGACAATAGTGAAATACTCTGTTTTCTGTATTAATATTTATTTTTAAAAATCAATTTTGCCTGATTTAGGTGAAGTACCACCTAAAAGCATAAAGTTGAGGGTTAGGAAGGTATTCCATATTCATCTAGTTATGAATATTGCTATATTTGTGTAATATATACACCATACCAAGTTTTCAGATCCTTCAATTTTACTAACTAGTTGCCCATAGTTTGCTTTTCAATCATACTAATCAAGTTTAAGTAATAGAAAAAGGTTTCTCTTTCTTGCAAAAGAGCTATAACAGGAAGATCGTGTACTTTAGGATGAAAGAACATGATGGCAGCATCCACTTTTTCCTTGAAGAAAATATATATCCAAGGATTTCAGGTGATTAAGTATCTAGAGACAGTGAGTGTCCAGCAGAGCACTGTCTAGAGGAGAGTACAAGTACATCTCATCAGTGGTCAACAAAGCACAGCAGAGACACACTATAATGATCCATCGTCCATATAAGCATAGTTGAGCAAAGACTAGAGAACAAGCAGGTCGGTGAATTTTACTGGTTGTCATAACAATGACTTAACTAGGAACAGTCCTGCGGTGCCAGAGATGTGAATTGCCTCTCAAATTGTTTGCCATGTTCCTTGTGTGTGTGTGTGTGCCCCTTCATGCATGTTCCCTATATCCACTCTTCCTACTGATATGCATGCCCCAGGAAGAGTGAATCCTTGTTTTGTGTGGGAAATGCTTTGTTGCTATGTTTTTTATCATACCATTTCATTAAATGCCTTTTCTTCTAACAAAATAAGTCCTTTGGCTAATCATAAAAGGTAAACACCTCAGTGGGAGAGATATGAGCTATGATTTTAGGAGATGCCAAAGATTCACAGAAAACTTTGAATCTGTGATAGTTATTTACTTCAGAACCAGCACAGAAAGGTAGGATACTACACAATGACAAAACTTGCAAATTTCTGCTAATGTGGCAGGAATTCAATTTGAGAAGAAAGAGTGAAAGCGATCTATTTCATCACAAGTGGTTAGTTTATGGTACAGACATTCTGGAGAACAATTTGAAATTATGTCCAAAGGGCTATAAAACTATGCATGTCCTTTGACACAGCAATACCATTACTAGGTCTGTACCCCAAAGAGGTTGAAGAAAAAAGAAAAATCTATATCTACAAAAATATTTGTAGCACCTCTTTTTGTTGTGGTAAAGAATTCAAAATTGAGGTGATGCTCATCAATTGGGGAATGGCTGGACAAGTTATGGTTTATGATAGTAATGGCACACTATTGCCCTATAAGAAATGACAAGCAGGAAGCTTGGAAGACCTATATGAACAGATGCAGAGTGAAATGAGCAGAACCAAAAGAACACTGTATGCAATAACACCAATATTGTGTGATGATCAACTATGAAAGACTTAGCTACTCTGATCAATGTAATAATCCAAGACAATTCTGAAGGACTCGATGAAAAATGCTATCCACCTCCAAAAAGAGAACCGATGAACTCTGAGTATAGAATGAAGTATAATGCTTTTAATTTATTTTTAGTGCTTTTTTCTGCAACATGGCTAATATGGAAATATTGATGATCTCACATGATTTCACAGCAATATCATATGGCTTGCCTTCCCAATTTGTGGTGGAGAGACTAAAGGTAAAGAGAGAATTCAGAATTCAATTTTAAAAAGTGAATGTAAATTTATTTTTAAATTTATTTTTATTTTTAAATAAACTTATTTTTAAAAATTTAATAATAAATTTATTTTTAAAAAGATTAGAAAAACCAAACAATACATAAAAAAATGGTTAGTTTAGTCTCCATGAAACATTAAGTTAAAGTATTCATAAAACATCATGTAATATAATTCTATCTGAACTATAAGAATTCATGTCTCATTATTTTCAATATTGCATTTAATCTTTATGAGCCTCAGTTCCCTCATCTGTAAAATAGAAGAATAATACTTGCACTAATTACTTCACATGATTATTGTAAAGATCAAACAGCTACAGAATTCTTTATGAAATATGACTGTAACTATTAGTATTTTATTGGAATAATCCACATACTGTTATTTTAAATATTACATCTTATTCATCCATTTGTCAAAGGTTCAGCTGCCAAGTCTTTAAGATTCTACCTCTACAACAGTTTTTTGCATATGTTCTCTTTTCTCCAACTGGAGGGGTTGAGAGTGTGGGAGAAGAGAAGCATTCATTAATTGCCCACTATGTGCCAGGCACTCTGCTAAGCACTTTATAAATAATGTCTCACAACAGCTCTAGGAGGCAGGTGGCACCATCCCCATTTTACAGATGAGGAATCTGAGGCAGCCATAGGTTAAAGTGACTTGCCTATTGTCACACAGCTAGTAAGTGGCTGAGCCCTGATTTGAACCCAGGTGTTCCTGACTCCTAGACCAGCACTCTATTCACTGCACCACCTCCCGGTCATCCTTCTAGCTCAAGCCTTTATCATTTGTTGCCTGAACTCTGGTTAACAGGCAACCAACTAGGGGCAGCTAGGTGGTGCACTGGCTAGAGCTCCAGCCTTAGAGTCAGAAGGACCTAAGTTCAAATCTAGCCTCAGACACTTAACACTTACTAGCTGTGTGACCCTGGGCAAGTCACTTCACCCCAATTGCTTCACCAAAAAAAAAAGGCAACTAACTGATCTTCCTGCCTCCAGTACTTTCCTTCTCTGATCCCTCTACTACACAGCTTCCAAAATGAGATTCTTAAAGCACATCTTACTTAATGTTCCTGCTCAAGAAGCTTCAATGTCTACCTATTTCTACAAGGTAAAATACAGACTCCTCTGTTTGGTATTTATAGCTAGTCACATGGAACAATGGGGAGAGAGCCAAGGATTTGGTGCCAAAGACCTAGGTTCAAATCCCAGAGCTGTTATTTCTACTTGCATGACATCGTGTGAATATATAACCTCTGTGCACCTGAGTTTATTTATCTGTAAAATAAAGAGGTTGGACTAGCTAACTTGAAGGTCTCTTCAAGCTCCAAATTTATGATTGTATAGATTCTCCCAGTATGAATCCAGCCTACCTTTTTGGTATGATTTTATATTAATCCCCCTCATACACCCTATGTTCCAGTCAAACTTTTATTTTTGCTGTTACATGTATGTGACATTCCATCTCTTATCTCTATGCCTTTGCAAAGACCATCTCCCATGCCCTTTGATGCTTTTCCTCCTGTGCTTCTCAGAATCTCTAACTCTCTTTAAAGTGCTATCTCCTACATAACACATATCCTATTAGTTATTATTGCTCTCCTTGCTCCCAAAATTACTTTGCATTTCCCTTGTATATGTTCTGTACTGACTTGTCTGTGTACACATCTCCCATCACTCTCCAAGTAGTACCTTAAGGGCAGGAGTTATTTCATTATGTCTTAGTATCACTATCAGATGAACAAAGAGTAGGCACTTAATCAATGGTGGTATTAGTGGACTGAATTGAATGGAAAGGCAGCTACTATGATGCATGCTTACCTTTAACTGTACGAGTACTGAAGAGCCGAAAACTCCCAAGGGGTAACTTAAGGAGATCCTGGGGTCCATGCTGAGCTTTAGGGAAAGGCCTTTCTTTGGAACCATGAAGGATTCTTTCTTCAGGCAAGATACCACAGAAAAAATGCCGACTTTATAAACCTTTACTTTAGCCCAGGTTCCCTGAATGAATTACAGCACAAAAAAAAATGCAAAACACTGGGGCATGTGAAAGAAAGCCCTGAATCTCAGTAATTTTGTAACACATTTTGAGCTTCATATGTAGCTAACTATGTGTTCTTTATTGCTTTTCAAGGAAGACAAAAATGATGAAAAGAAAATCTCTTAGATAGATATTACCTGCACAAATAAATGAAAATCCTGCCCACCTAAGTTTTGAAGGATGTTAAAGTTTAAGAAGCTTAAAGGTCAATAGACTACAAATTAACTGACTGACCACTTGTATTAGATGGGAAATCTATATTGCTCCAGGTACGCTTTGTGATTTCCCCATATACCTAGGACACACCTGTAAAATGAAATGGTTAGACTGAATGGCCTCTAGTTCCATACCATTAAAACCTAATTCTTATTACCATTATAAAACGTACTATGGCTATTATGTTTAGTTGGTGAGAATACAGTACTGATTAAATCAAAGTGATTTTTCTCTTTGTTTTTTTCTCCTCATACACACTAGTTAGCTTTGTTCTGTTCAATGACATCAAACTACACTCTCAACTCTGGGAAAGAATCTTACAAATGTGTATCCTTGGACATTAAGGAAATTCACAAAGTATGTATGGATCTCCTGTCCAACACAGATAATCAGTAGCATCATCTTCATATTTCAAGCACAGCATTTTCTAACTGTCTGAGTAATATTAAGAAACTTTGCAAAATAGGAGATGGATCCTTAGCTGAGTATTTACCAACCTTATGACTTCCTCGAGTTCCTTCCAGTGAACTTGGGGTTATATAACTTGATTGAAGGTCTCTGTCAGACACTTTCACCATGATGTCCCTGTAATTTCCCCGGTAGCATGCACTAAATGGGATTGCAATGCTTATTGGAAATGGAATTCTCTTCTCCTGGTCTGAGTACTCAACAGTGATGACATTGCTGACCAATTCTTCAGAATCCTTAACTATCAAAGAACTAATACTATTTGTTATCTGGCAGGTCAGGTTTTGTAGAATAGGTGATGGTGCTGTAATATAACAAGCTACTTTGGGGCTGGTCTCATCAATTGGAGTAACAAGATATCTGCAGAAAAAATACATGATGTTTTTCCTTTGCATCATTTGATTTACATATGTATATTTATATATTCAAGTTGATAAATGATTATACAATTTTTTATCATATTACAATTTAAATTTGAAGACTGCTATAGAATCTCAGAGTTAGAAAGGGCCAGAGATCATCTAGTCCAACGCCTACTTGTTTATTTATTACTACTTTATTTGTCTCCAACAATGAAGAACTCACTGCCTCATGGGGCCTATTCTGGTTTTGGAAAGCTCCAATTCTTTGGAAAAGTCTAATCTTCAATCTTCTTCCCTTTGCCCAAGCAGAACTTTAATCTCTATTCCAGATGATAGCTCCACCAAACTTGCCCCTCACTCCTAGTTCTGTGGATGACACCACCATGGTTCTTGCCCTATAAGCTTGACACCATAAGGACGTCTTCGACTTCATCCTCACCACCCCCTATCCAATCAACTATCAAGTCCTAGAGAGTCTATCTCCACCTCACTTCTTGCTCAGACTAACCATAATAGGCTTTTATCTAGTCTCCATACCTCTAGTCCCTCCTCCTTTCCAATCCAGCTTTCAATCAACCACCCAAATAATCATTCCAATGTGGGTCTGATGGCATAAGCCTTCCATTCAAAACTTTCATTGGATCTCTATTGCTTACTGAATAAGACACAAATTCCTTAGCCTGGTGTTCAAGGCCCTCTGAAATATGGCTCGGTCATCATACACCTTCATGTAATTTACATTTCAGCCAAACTGGATTATTGCACAGACTTTTGTTCATTTCCACCATTGCTCCATGTTAAAGAAGGGTCCAAATTCCTGGAAAGGTGTCTACTTTTATCACTACCTCAGAGTCTTTCTTTTCATTTGAGGCCTAACTTTTCCATGAAGTCTTCTTCATTCTCTAACCATAAATAACCCTCCTCTCCCCCCCATTTTCCAAATATTTCATACTACTCTTTGGATCTCTGCTATACATGTCTTATCTCATAATTTGTATTATATTTACTTACATATTTTTCTTACTCCTCTCCCCCCATTAGGCTGCAAGGTACTTGAAGACAGGATCATTGAATTAGAGCTGAAATGAATTGTAGAAACCATCTAATGTAACCCTCTCATCTTACAGACCAGAAAAGTGAGGCAGGATAAGTACCCAGCTCTTTCAATCTCCAAGTTTAGCACCTGTGTCACACTGTATCTCTAAATCTCATTTCATTTTTTATCTCTAATACCCAGAGGATAGTTTGAAATAGTAGTTGCTCAATGTTTGCTGAATTGAATCCTTTAAATATTTGAAGATAGCTATCATTTCTTCTCCAATTATTTTCTTCTTGAAGGTAAATATCACCAGTTCCTTCAACTAATCATAACTTTTGAGTCCCATCATCAACATAAAGTGTAGTAGTTCAATTTTAGAATTGGAAAGAACATTAGAGGTCATCTAGTTCAATTTTCTTATTTTCATGATGAGAAAACTGGTACCCAGAGAGTTCAGTGACTTGTCCAAGGTTATACAATAAGTAACAGAGCTGGAATTCAAACTCAGGTCAACTGATTCCAAACTCTAGTTTTTAAGCTACACTATTCCACCTTCAGGAAATGTATTATCAGAAAAGAAGGTGGCTACACAGTGAGAGCAATGGAAAGTGGATGGGTGGCCTGAGTACTTGTCACCAAAACATTGAGTGGATCCTCTGTGGAGTATTTATGGGTGTCTATGCACAAGAATAGCTCAGAATGAGAATGTGTGGATCCCAATCACAGTTGCTGAATTTCCATGCTTTCTGATACTGATGGTATTGATGACATTCCACAAGACTGGAAAACAGTATAAATTGAAAGTCTGTAATGAGCCAGCCTTGTATTACTTTAGGAATGATTCCCTCTCATATTTGCAAAGGACTCTGGGAAGCCATATCAAGGTGAACTTCTTCCAGGAAGCCTTCCAAGGTTGACAAATTAAGCAGAAAAGGGAAGAGTTCATCATGACATAAAACCCAATAGCCCCAACTCCACATTCTAAAATGTTGTTCCCACTAACTGAACTGGTCTGTAACAGGCCTTCTCACCTTTGGGCATGAGAATTACCTAAGAGCTATGGAAGAAAATAGGTTCTTTAAAGTGAGTTATCCATGGAGGCAACCTGAAGATTCTTTGTTTGCTAAACATTTTCGATTATGAAGGGTGATGGCTTCTTAACCTGAGGTAACATAATGAGTCATGATCTAAATTTAAAAACCTGAATGGGTTATACTGGATAACTATGTGACTAGAGAACCACTAAATGAGGAATGCCTAAAGTGGGTATTATAGGGTGTGGTGTTGGCTTTGGCTGCTTAGGAATCTCCGAGTTGTTTTGAACTGTGTTACTATATGCAGTGCTTTGTTTCAGGTGAAATAAAACAATTATATGATTTTAAAAAAATACTCTTGGCTTCAGATTCCACCTGTGACACTTTCTACATTTGTGACCATGGGCAATTCAATTTATCTCCATGGCTCTCAGTTTCCTCATCTGCTAAATAGGAGTTGGATTAGATGGCCAATAAGATCCCCTGTACTTCTCAATCTGTTTTCCTATAATCCGATAGTATGCTGTCAAAGAGATGATAGACTTGAAATGTAGGATGAGGCATAACTTGTTAGATATGGCCATGTGTGGATTTGATTGCTTCACTCTATTTGTTACAAGAGAAGTTTTGATTTTGTTTTTGTTTATAATTGCTGAGTGCAGGGATTGGGAAGGAAAGGGGAGATAATAAGAGCAATGAAAAAGAAAGAAAGAAAGAAA